AAGAAAGCCAAAATTATGAAAATATTACAAAAGTTCTAATTACCTTGGCTTACTCCATATAATTGCAACAAATTGTCATCATCCAAGTTTTGTAATGCGCGCACTATCTAAAAAATGTGGACATTACATTCTAGCATCTTTAATGAGTATCTTTAATGATAAATTATAAGGAAATAGAATAATCTTTACCTCATCTTCTAATTTTTTGTGTTGTTCTTCCGTATCTTTACCAAAAATATATTTCAAGGCAACCTTTCGAGACTGTTCTTTCCATATTGCTTGTTTTACAAGGACGTTTTTTCCTGTCTTGACAGTAATAACATCTTCAAAATCTGGATACTCGATGTATTCAACACCAAGTTGAAGTGCTATTTCTTTTACTGGATCATATTCGGAAGAAGCGGATGAAATAATTGATGCGGCGTCATTTGAAGCCATTTCATTGACAGCATCATAAGTAGTTTCTTCGGTCATTTCGAAAATTGCATCCAATAAATAAGCTACTTGTAACTTTTTTGAAGAGATTTATTTCTTTTAAATAAAAGATTTTTTTTTTTTTAATTAAAGTCGTAAAGAATGAATACTGAGAGGAACAATGAAAGGGACACTGAAAGGTTTTTATATAATCCAAAATAATCGATCAGCATGAATTTTTCACAGGTTAGTCATACAAATACTAATAATCACCTGCGTTACAGTTAATCATGTCCGATGTTCACTTTATACTCTATATGCGTTTATTGTAATTAAGGTGCATAAATAACATAAATAAACTCCGTTTCCTCAATTTACCAAATTTTAATTTAAGAAATTATATCACTTTTATCACTTTATCTGATATTCCATTGTCAGCTTATAAATTTATTATACTGTTATAATAAGTGTCCATTGTCCGGAAGTAAATGGTTTTCATTCTTGGTAAATATTATTAATTTTCTTTACGAAAAACCTCGTTGACACTAAATATGAAATACACACGCATTTAAATATAAAGAAGCTTCTTTGTACATGTCATCAATTATCGTCATCATCGTCATCGTTATACGTATCGATATAAAAAACTTTAACAGGTAAAACTGGTTTATCGGCTAGTTCGGCGACTTTTAAGGATATTTCGTCAATGAACAATGTATTATTAACGATGGGAAATTTTTTCAAAATATACTTTTCCAAATAGTTCTTAACATTATCAATGAATGCCCTACTTGCATAATGCAACCTTGAAACTACACATATCGATTAGTGCAATATATAAGGTTGTTTAGTCAGTCATATATCATGCAAGGGATCCCAAAATCTATTTCTTTAAACATTTAACCATTTTTAAAGAAATTACAGTAGCAAGACGATAAATAATATAAATAATTCAAATGACAATCGCATTATCGTTATCTCAAAGTCACGCGGTAATGGACTTCTGGATTTGGGAGGTTCTTTGAACAAGACTTGTCTGATTTTGAGATTGCCCGCCCGGACTTTGTGATTCTCTTATGTTGTCACATCTTACCACCTCCTTGGAATCGTCTTGTACAAAAACTTAAATAATGGGTGTACCACTGATCTGATCTGATATAGCGCAGCGAGAAGGACACGATCAAGATCAAAGGCTAATAATATATACGTATGTGGTAAGAGTTTCATCGGGTGCGCGCACGTACTCAAGTACAGGATATTAGTTGATTAAATAACTAACGCTAACGCTAATCCTAAGATAACCATTACACACTTAAATGGATATATAGCGGAATGTACATTCGAGCAAAAAAAATTTCTAAATACGTAAATGTGGTAAATATCGATATAAGGTTTGTTTAAAGTTGAAACTCTAACATTGAATACGTACTTACTTTATAAGCAACTCATATTTCATAGTTTTATGAACGTCTATAATAGGTACGTATGTAGGTTAACTAATACTTTAAAACCCTAGGAAAAAAAAAAGCATAATTTGTATGATCCTCATGAGCGTCCTATTCCCCAGAATCTCGGAACTATTTAATACGTATAAAAATATAAATTACTAAAAAAAATGGCCAATCATTTTGATAGTAAATAAATTCTTCCAAATTGGGTGAATAAGGAAATCGCTCTCTGCCTTTAATATGTTTTATTCTCTTGCAGAATTATGTTTTAAGAACTTGCGTCAAGAAACATAACTTTACAAATCATGCATTTACTTTCTTGAACTTTTCAAACAGCATTAGCATATGTCATGCTGACGCTAAAAATTCTATTTAAATAACCATTAATCAGTTGTTTCATAATATATCGATTTGGATCAATTGTTTTTTCAATTACTATATATTTGAATATTGAATTGTCCGGATTTTTTAATCTTTGTGCTAAAGTAAGAAATAAAATTCGATTATCCTCCATAAAACATTAGTAACAACGATTCAAATCCATGCACAATGCGCGCCTGTTCTATGCAGTGCATAAGCTTTTGAAAATTTGTACTAAAAAAAAGTTTCGGCAACATGCGCATTCTTTTCAACTTGCTGTTTATAATTGAATATCGAATTAATATCAGCATTCCAATTCCAAAATACTTTTTTTGTATAATAAGCATCAACTAATCTTTATTTTCTGTGTTTATTTTTATTTTTATTTTTTATTTTTATTTTTATTCATTTGGCTCACAACGGTAATAATAACTTAGACCTGCGAAACATGCGAAACATGCGAAACGTATACGAATAAATTTAACAAAAGCATTATCATTACAAAAAAAATTATGCCGTACTTCCTTTTGTAAAACTTTGGCGAAAAATATTGTATACGTATTACTCATGCTTCTGCTTTAAACCACAGTTAATAACTATCATTAAGTAAATTTTATACATGCAATGTAATTATATATTTATCTGTTTGCATTCTGCAATTAACGTGTGAATGGGAATGAATTTATTTTTTTTTGTTTTTTTTTTTTTTATGTTTTTTTTTGC